CGGGGCCGCGTGGCGGTGCCAACAGGAAGCGTGGCCGGGCCGGCCCGCCGCTCCCATGCCCGCCCCCCTCCGTCCCCCTCCTTCTGCCAGCTTGTGAAGGGGGGGAGCTATGGTCATTCTCTCGGAGCCTCAGTTTCCCCAGTGGTAAGACCGGGTTCTCAGTGCGCTGGCTCCTCCCTCTTCGTCTTCTTCTAGAACAAAAGTTTCTGTGGTTAGTTTTTGTAGTCCCGGGGATTGAACCCAGGGCCTCCCCGCTTGAGGCCCCTCCTCCCTCCCCCTCCCCCGCCGGCATCTGCCCCGTGTGCCCACACCCCCCTCTATCGGAACAACCCCCCTCCAGGTGGAGGAGGGGGGAGGGGGAGGGGGAGGGAAACCCTGGGGAGTGGAAGAGAGGGAGGTGAGGCTGGGGGAGGGAGGGACAGACACCAGCACCACTGAGGAAATTCACCAGTGGAAGCAACACACACAGAGAGATAGAAAGGCCCACGTGAGAGTTTCCCAGCCGGGCTCCGGGGTTCATGCCTGTAATCCCAGCCCTGAGAAGCCAGGATTACAGTCACTGAACTCCAGGCCAGCCAAGGGCTGTGCAGAGAGCTCACAAGGCAGAGCCTGGGCTGTACTGCCAGAGCCTGTGTGAGACAGAGACAGAGACAGAGAGGCCAGTTGGCAAGGGGCAAGGAGAGGGAAGGGAAGGGGGAGAGAAGGAGAGGAGGGAGGGGGAGAGGAGGGGGCGAGGGGAGAGGAGGGAGAAGAGCCAGGACACCCCCTAGACGCGCATTGCATTATGTGTAGAAGGCCATGGAGTGGGAGCGGGAATGGGGAGCCCTTGAAGGGTGCAGGGGTGGGGGAGGGCACGGGACAAGGGTGCCATTGTTCGGGGAGGGGTGGGGGCAGCCCCCCGGGGCAGGAAATTGCCCTCACCGCCCCCCCTTTCTCCAACTCGGGGCACAGCCCTGACTGGGGCGCAGCAGGGAAGCCGGCCTTTGGTCCAGGAGAAGCAGGTGCATGGGGGGGTGAGCAGACGCCGCCCTCCTGTCTCTGACAACTTCCTCCCCCAAAACAGGGCCCCCCAGCCCATCTCAGGGGACTCAGCAGTCCCAGGGCCCTCAAAACCCTCCCTCCCAAATTCTACCTTCCTGCAAGGTAGCGCTACACAAAGAGAGGAAAAAGAAAACTTCTGGTAGTTTCTGGAGGCCCCATGCTTCCGGCCAGATCTGGGCTTCCAGCCCAGAGAGGGTGCAGAAGAAAACAAGGCGGGGGGGGGCGGGATGGGAAACCCCCCCTTCTCAGAAATAGGGCTGAGATCTCGGGGATCCGAGACGGTGTCATTCATTTGTTCTTGGGGAGTTTGATGGAAGTTTCTAGACTGTTCTGGAATAGGGGCGGGGATGGGGGGTGATTTCAGGGGCAGGGAAACTGCTGGATGGTCAGGCAAGGGGTTGGGGTGTTAGAGGTCAGGTGACTTTTTCTAGCTGTCCCTCCACCCACATAACTGAGGCTGGGGGAGGGGGAGGAAGGAGGGATGTGAGTTTCAAGGCTCCCCCTGAAAGGAGGGGGGGGGTGGTGTGGGCCTAGGGCTGTCCAGTGGGGTTGCAGAGATCAGGCAGCGTGGGGGGGGGTGGCTTGAGGCTAGACGGGAGGTGGGACTGGCTGAGCGCACTCTCCTCCACAGTGGGCTTTCTACCTGCTCCTGGTTAAGTGGCTCATCAGCCTGTCCACTGCGCTACTACTCGGCCTCATCGTGGCCTTCCATGCCAGGGAGGTCCAGGTAGGAACTGCCCCCACCCACAGCCCACACCCCGCGTGACACCAGGAGGGGGCCCCGCATCCTCCCCCCCCCCGCCGGACACCCAGATACCCAGACAGGCAAACAGACACACAAACACACAGACAGAGCCAGCCACCTTGGCTCACACCTGTCATCTAGCTACTCAGGAGGCTGAAATCTGAGGACTGAAGTTCGAAGCCAGCCTGGGCAGGAAAGTCCATGAGACTCTGATCTCCAATGAGTCATCAGAAAACTGGAAGTGACGCTGGAGCTCAAAGCAGTAGAGTGCTCGCCTTGAGCAAAAAGAGCTCAAGGGACAGCGCCCCAGGCCCTGAGTTCAAGTCCTAGTAACAGCTCAGAGAAGATGGAGACAATCAAAGAGACACAGAGGCTAAGAGGCAGAGACGAGGGATGGGGGGAGAGAGAGAAAAAAGAGAGAGGAGGGAAAGCAGTGGAGACAGAGGTGGAGACAAAACCACAGGCCTCAGGGCTGGGCATGGAGGAGGAGAAAGAGGAGGAAGAGGAGGGGGAGGAGGGGGAGGCATCGGCCCACAGTGCCTGGGGCAGCACTTTCTCTGGGGTGACCCACGTGTGGTGTGGGCGCGCCAGGGCGTGTCCCCATGTGGGGATGACGGGTCGGGGCACCCCCTCCCCACACGGGCTGTGTTTCTGTCACTGGGCGTGTCTGTGTGTGTGGTTTGGTTCTCTGGGTGTTGCCAGGACTGCGTATCCCAGAGTGTGTCACGTCCTGTGGCTGGCATGTGCGGTGCTGTCTGCGTCTCTCGCGGTGTCTCACAGTGGCCGCGTGGCTGCTTGAGGGGTCACGGCCACGAGTGGTCACCTGCGCAGATCTGCGTGTCCCCTCCGGGCGCCGTCCCTTCTTTCCTGGATCACAGTCACCAAATGCAGGGCTTGAACTCGGGGCCTGGGCGCTGTCCCTTGAGCTTTGTCACTCGAGGCTGGCGCTCTGCCCACGTGAGCCTCAGCCCCACTTCTGGCTTTTTACTGGTTCATCAGAGTCCCACAGACTTTCCTGCCCGGGCTGGCTTTGAACCTCGATCTTCAGATCTCAGCCTCCTGAGTAGCTGGGATTCCAGGCGTGAGCCTCGAGGGCTGTCGGCTCAGGATGTGTTTGAATGAGGACACTCCCACTGTGTGGGGACCACAGTCGCTCCCGTGGGGAGGGAGGGGTGCGGAGGCTGTTACCTGGTGTGGTGTGTCACTGGTGTGTGTCTGATCGCGTGTGTGACACACGTTGGCGTGGCCTCCCGGTCAGCGCTGTGAGGGAAGAGGCGCTTGTGTGTGGCCGGGTCGGGGTGGGCGCGTGTGTCCTGCAGCCTGCGGGTGGTGTAGACGTGTGTCTCATGTGTGTGTGTCCGGGTGTGGCATGGGGGGGGTGAGTCACCGTGGGCCCCCGCGTGTCCCCTCCGCTGGGACCCTGTGACTGCCACCACGTGTGTGAGTGGCCGGCTCTTCCCTGCTCTGCCCCGGACACGCCCAGCGCTTCCTTGGCCTGGGGTGGGGAGGTTTGGGGGAGCCTCCCGTCCCTGCCCTCCCTCTGCCCTCCCCGCCCCTCCCCGCCCTCCCCGCGGGCCGCCACCCCTCCCCCCGGAGGGCACCGGCCTGGGAGCGCTCACCGGGCTGCCTGCTACCAAACTGGCTGCTATTTGCGTGCTGAGAGGTGGGGGGCCCTGGGCAGGAAGCTGGCTGAGCCCCAAGACCTCGGGGGCCATGGGCGGGGAGCCGATGGCCGGCCTGGGGGCCCTGCGGCGTCGCAAGTGGCTTCTGGAGCAGGAGAAGCTGCTGGCGGGCTGGGCGCTGGCGCTGGCCGCGCTGGGAGTGGCGCTCATGGTGCTGCACGCCGAGATGCTGTGGTTTGGGGGCTGCCTGGTGAGTGGGGGGCAGGGGCCGGGGGGAGGGGTCGCACCCCGGGGCTGAGGGAGGAGGCTGAGGTGTGGACCGCTGAGTCTGAGGGAAGAGGCTGAGGTCTGAACCCTTGGGTCTGAGGGAGGAGGCTGAGGTCTGAACCCCTGGGTCTGAGGGAGGAGGCTGAGGTCTGAACCCCTGTGTCTGAGGGAAGAGGCTGTGCTTGGACCTCTGTGTCTGAGGGAAGAGGCTGAGGTCTGAATCTCTGTGTCTGAGGGAAGAGGCTGTGCTTGGACCCCTGTGTCTGAGGGAGGAAGCTGTTGTCTGGATCCCTGGGTCTGAGGGAGAAGGGCTAAGGTCTGCACCCCTGGGTCTGAGGGAGGAGGCTGGGCTGTGCTTGGACCCCTGGGTCTGAGGGAGGAGGCTGGGCCTGGCCGGCATGGTAGTGGTGGCAGCGGGAGTTTGGGGCCGGGCTGCACCTGTGCGTCGGCTGGCTGCGCCACCGTGGCGGGTGTCGGGTGTGGCAGAGCCGAGGGGGGAGAACCCTTGTATTCAAAGAGGGTGAGAGATGGGGGGACCTGGTGCCCCTCACTTCCTCCCTGTGGAGCCTCAGTTTCCCCTGGAGTGCAGCTGTGGCAGTGGTGTCTAGGTCTCGGGGAGGGGGCTGGACTCCGAGGTGGATGGAGGAGGCTGGGGGGGGGGAATGGCCAACTTGGAGGCCAGTGGGGTGGGTGGAGCAGGGACAGGTCCCCGCAGGCCTCTGGAACATTCCAGCCCCTGGTAAGGGCAGTAAGGGAGGAGGGTGGAGGACTTGGGGTCCCCTGGGTGGTTTGAGGGGGAACAAGGGAGGGAGGGGCTTGTAGGTCTGGAGGGGGGATGGGCAAGGGTCCCCCCGTGGGGCGCGGGGGTCAGCGCAGGGCAGCGGGCGGCT